ACCCCGGCCAGAAGCCCAGGGACAGTGTGCAGGAAACGGGTGTTCAGGTGCCCGTGGGGGGCCGGGGCTCCCCACCTGCAGCTCTGGAGGACACTTACCCCAGAAGGGCGTGGAAGGCAGCTCTGGAGGCTCTGCAGGGAGACAAGGGTGGTCAGGGGGGCCCCTGGAGGGCCGGCCTGAGGTGGCCCCACCTCCCTACCCAGCCCAGGGCAGGGCTCACTCCCCTCACACCCCCCAACCCCCCTCAGGCCAGGCGTGGGGGTGAAGGCCCGGAGGCAGGGGGAGGCTGTGGTGACTTCAGTGCTGAGCAAAGGAAGATGGCGGGGTGTGGAGGGGGACTTAGGGGACGAGGGGCAGAGCTCCTGGGCGGGCAGGACCGGGGAGGGTGTCCGAGCACAAGGGGGGCCCTGGAACTGAGGGGGCTGGTTTCCAGGAGGTCACAGGGGGGCACAGAGTCAGAGAGAGGCCAGGGGTTGGGGTGCTCTCAGCTGATTGGGTCCATTTTCTCACTGAACCGAAGTGGGCGGGTCTTAAGGGAGCAAGGGGACAGGGCGGTGGTCAGAGAGGAGGCCCGGTGCAGGGTGGACAGTGTCGGGGGCACTGGACACAGAGAGAAATCGCAGCGGCTGTGGGGACGGGACAGGAGGGGAGAGGAGGGGGGCTCCCCAGGTCTCGGGGGGAGTCGAGGCCCCACCCTCACCTGAAACGTTCAGGGTGGTGGATTTTAGCTCTCTCTGGCGCCCCAGGAGAATCCAACTGTAACGCCCAGCCTGGCTGTCCTGGGCTTCTTCTGTCACCATCTTCGCTGAGCATCCCTGCACACAGAGCCGCCACCCGTCCCGGGAAGAGCACCCCGGGGTGGCCTGGGTGAAGATGGGCTGGCAGACTTCCCGGCCGGGGGCCCGCAGGCAGACCATGACTTTGCGGATGGGGTTGCAGCTGTTGCAGGTCATCTCGGCCCGTGCCCCCCTAGTCACCACCACGCTCTTCGTGCAGACGGGGTTGTCCCAGATTGGGGTGGTGACATTCACATGTGGCCACTGCTGGGCCTGCAGCTCCGGAGAAGGACACCTACCCCAGGGGGGCATGGAGGGCAGCTCTGGAGGCTCTGCAGGGAGATAAGGGTGGTCAGGGGTCCCCGGGGGCCGGCCTGAGGCAGCCCCACCTCTCCACCCGGCCCAGGGCTGGGACCACGCCCCCCACAGACCCCCTCAGGCCAGGCGTGGGGGCGAAGGGGGGGTGGGGGTGGAG